TAGCTGGGGAGCTGGAAGATGAGAACTGGCGACTTTGTAGTGCAACTGTAGTACGCGGAGGAGCTGGGGAGCTGGAAGATGAGAACTGGCGACTTGGTAGTACAACTTTAGTACATTATGCCCCATATTGCGGACGCGCGACAACCGCTGGTGTTGTTGGCTACTTGTGGCTGCGCACACCTGTGTGCACAATACCTCGTACATCCGTCGTGCACATCACTCTCTTACACCTTCTCTCCCACCCCTCTGTTGTCGGAAGCTGATATCACTTCCTGACAAGGCCGTGTTGTAGAAGCTATTGAGACTCTGACCGCTTGGTGCTTTAGAAACTTAAGATTCGTAAAGATTCATATGTGGGGTTATCCGGTCCTTTAATTTTGAAGTGCAGGCATGTCAACGAAATGGGTGAGACTAGCGAGCCCGCGGATTCAGGCGTGAACGTGTGAACGGTCCAAGGTGCCGCTGAGGCCGGCGCGGGGACGAGGTCCTGTAGAAGTAGCGACCGTGATGCCGCGAGGTGATCGGGTAGTAGAGGTCGTCGTTCGCGGCTGGGAGTCAGCAAAGAAGTCGTTGTCCGGTGTGGATGTAGTTGTAGTAGAGGAAGATGGAGGACAAGGTGGAGGACGGGGTGGGGGAAGGCGATGGTCTCGAAAGGATGTAGTGCCACGTAGCTCAGCTTCCAATCGGGCTCATCCCGGACTGGCGCAAGGCCAGACGCACTTATGGATATGCGTACTGACTTGACAGCGGTGCCACACGCCGGCCAAAGTAAAAGCCTAAGAAACCAGGACAGGTAAAGTATGGGGTTCCCAACCTCTCAAAGCCTACGTGGCCTCCAACTCCAAATCAAAGCGACAATGCACATCTGCCGACGAAGAACCGATGCAAAGGCTGGACATCTTGTTACAAGCAGGGCCCAGGAGGAATTGACTCAGGTAAAACTGCAGGTACGTCCAGAAGGCGTCCCTTCCGGATATCAGCCACATTGCAGCCCTCTTCGTTGGGCAATCAACTGCAATGTGGATTGCCCCCCTGCTGAAGTAAAGGAAAAACAATTCAAAAGAATCCCTGTGACTACAAGGGGCACACACACACACTGCACCAAGGTGCGTTGTTTCGGCTTGGGTGCATCACGGCGGTATTGCCAGGGAGCCAGTCCTTACAAAGAGGCTAGTTCTATGGTTTGAGGATTGCTGGTCACTTTGTGGGTTTGGCTGGTGAGGTGAAGATCCATGCAGCATCCACCCAGGCTTTCGATGCATGGACATGACCGCACTTTCTGGGATCTGAATGGGCTGGGAGAGGGCCAAGATTCGGCCCATCTATGTTTCTCAGAAACCGTTGAAAGATTTGCCTCTTGGTGGATGGTCACTTCGAAGCCGAATGCAGGATGCCAGCAAAGTTGCCAGAGAACGTGCTCTTGCCATGCAGCCGACTGAGCTTGAAATTGAGTTGCAGCAACAGGGCGCCAAATACAAAGCGGCTGCACTGGAGGCCATTGCACGTGTGAAGCATGTCCTCGATGACAAGTCATATTTCACACGTCAGGCCAGGGAGTCAGCAAAATACAAACGAGACAGTGCAACACAGCAGAAGCGTAGTGCTTATGAAGCCCTGATGTCGACCCCTGTTGAGAAGGGCAGCGGCCTGCAATGCAAAGGGCGCAACTGTAGGGCCAACATGCATGTCACTTTTGAGCAGATGCAGGTGTTGCGCGCGGAGGTCTGTTCTTTAGCAGGTGCCTCCCCTCCAAAAGGAGGGGCTGAGAAAGAGGCTGTCAGCAAGGCTGACCTTCTGCAGCAGATGTTGAGTGGTAGTTTTCCGGATCATGGTGGACATGAGCTCGAGCTGAGAAAGAACTATGTATCCTTCGTCATAGTTCTGTTGATAAGCTGCGCTTGCTTGTGCAGAAACCATGTTGGAACGCTGCTTGGAATCCTCCCTTGTAGTGGCAAGGGCACCTCACACACGAGCTGTGGAGGAAAGGCAACAAAGTGGCTTGTGTCAGATGTGGAGGGAACGCCATTTGCAGTGAGCAAGGCTTCCAAGCCTCGTCGAAACTCAAGAAGGCTTGTGGACGAAGAGGTGTGCAGTTGGCCCTGCCGGTTCTTTTCCAGCAGCGGCCTGATAAGTCGAAACGGACTTCTAGCAAGAAGATGAGCAGGAGCAAAAGAGTCGAGGGGAAAAAGCTCTTTCGCAACAGCACGCATAGAATCCTTCAGTCTCCCTCTTACTGTAGAAGCTGCAACGTTATTTCTTGTGGGTTGGGTCATTTGAACAATTTGATAATACAGTACCGCAAAGGCTCCTGATGCCAAAAAGCCCTGTTTCTCGTCTGCTGAAGCGATGCCGAGTTGGAGCGTCACTTCGGACATTCCAAACCTTCTGTCACTTCCGTATCTACAGGTCTGCCTCACTGGACCTGATGCTGGAGAAGTACCTGAACCAGCGACCATCAAGACTGCATATGTCATGCTTCCTTTACCGAGTGTGCCTCACAGAGGTCAAGCCAACCACACCCTCAATGGCAAGACTGTACTTATATAGCTATGATTAGCTATGCCTCAGTGCCGCCAAAAACCTGTGAACTTAGCAATCATTGGCCTCATTCAGTCCGTAACCCTGAACAAATGGCTCTGGCTGTTCCTCATGTCTCTACGGGAGTTGTTGCCTGAGAAAGTGGGTCAGCTCAGCAAGGTGCGGGTCTTGGTAGCCCTGGTCCTGCAGTGTTATTCGCGTCTTCCCGCTGGCAACGGGGGAGTGCTCGAGCTTCCAAATCTGATCAATATATAGATATAGACATAGATCTATTTCCAAATAACACCCGTGTACGCAATGAATATCCTGGTCATACCAGGCCAGCCACAGGCCTATGCAGTCACAACACTGAGGGCTGTCGATACAATTGCTGAATCTTACTCACTTACGAGCAATTCGAGCCGTTGTGATGGGGTTGCGACTGATCAATAGCCATTCTCACACCGCGCACGCCCTTTTCGTAAAAGGTTTGCTCTGATTTGATAGGCTTTAATGGCAGTGACTGCCAGGCTGGTGGAGTCTTTGATGCTCGGTAGTCAGGAAGCCAGCGGTCAGAGCAAAAAATGCGTGCTATTTGACTACAAAGTTGGAGAAACTATCAGAGTTGTTCTGGAATCTTTTGGTCGCTGTGACCTCTTGGCCGAGCGCCTGTGACGAAAAAGACTCAATCGGTTCTACAGCTTGATGACCACTTCGCTTCGCACACAACGCCTGATACCTGGATCCGGTCTGAGCCTATTTGTGCGAACATTCTCTGCCGAAATGGCACATGTCGGATGTTATTGCACGGTCACCAAGCCAGGGCTTTGCCTGCTTAATCAGAACAGTGCCCGTGGCAAGGAAGTGACACGATCAAAGAATGGATGAAAACTCCAAGCACTTTGTCATGAAGCGATCTTGTGAGCTGGCCTCCAGCGGCCTCCGGCCATATTCGGTCGGCGCTGATGGATCAAGGGCTTGGGCAAATCAATGGGCACATCTCATTCGCGGTCGAAGCCTCAGTCTCTATGTTCAGGTGCCCTTGTTCACCACCCATATCAGAAATAATAGCGCCTTTGAGGGTACAGGTTGCTGCGGTCTTGGGGCGAAAATGTCCAGAGGGAAAACCTATTGCATTATCGAAGCCCCAGGACATGCACACTCCCAGTGAAAACACAGCCTTTCCCGCACCCAACGCCCATCTAATCCGTGTTAAACATGCTGAAAGAGCCTTTTGCCCGAGCACCTAACAGCTGGTGAGGCTTTGACAGCTGAGACTTGGGTTAGTGATTCACCCATGGAGGACTTCATTTTCGGTTCACCCCCAACGACCGAAGGGGGCGACTGGAGCGGTGTCGTTTGCCTGGAGGATCATGTTTCAGGAGATGTGGAAATGAGGACGGCGCGGCTTTTGCCTTGGTCTCTTGGGGCTTTGCTGCTCGGTGGGGGTTTTGGTGAAAAGGGGGACCACTGGACCCTGTACCGGTGGCAGGTGGTTAGTTTGGAGCCACTGTGTCTCCAGCCTGGGGACGATGGTGCTGCCCTGCCACGCACCTTGGACATTCGTAAGTTTTCCTCTTTAGTTGTTGAGCTATGCGCTGGCAGCGGAGCGATGGGCCTTGCTGCGTCCTTCGTGGGTGCAGAGGTTGCGGTGAGCATTGAGGATTCTTCCTATGCGGCTGGGCACCTACGCGGCAACTCGCATGGGGTGGTTATTGAAGCCTCCATCGCTGACCTCCAGGCCATCTATGAGACGCATCTTCATGTGGGTTCACGCACAGCTACTGCGATGCTTGGCTTCCCTTGCCAACCCTATAGCTCGCAAGGCCTCCAACGTGCAGAACACGACCACCGTTTTCTCACTCTCCTTCATGCTCTTCGGGCGGTCTGGCTTCTTCCCATTCAGGCTTTGATTGCCGAATGTGTACCTGCTGCGGGGACCAATGAGGCTGTCTTGCAGGCCTTTCTGCATCTCAACCAGGCCCGACATTGGGAACAGATCCAGTATGAGTTGGACTTGAAGGCCCAATGGCCGATGAAGCGACTTCGGTGGTGGTGCCTTTGTGCTCCGCCTGTATGGATGGCAGGACCTTTTTGCCCTTGGCCGGTTGACACCACCTATACCACTGTGGGCTCTCTCATTCGCTCCTGGCCGGTTTGGGATGTGGATGAAGAGACTGATCTTCTGTTGACGGAACATGAACTCGGTGTCTTTGGTTGCGCCCTCTATGGGGATGATCAGCGGTGGTTTGGGCCGCATCATGGACTTCCCACCCTTCTCCACTCCTATGGAGCTTGGTTCACTGCCTGCCCCTGCGGATGCCGGGATTCCGCCATGGCAGATGCCTCACTGAGGGCTCGGGGGGTTCGTGGCTTCTACATCACTTCCGCTTTGACCGGACAACCACGACTACTTCATCCCACAGAGGCCGCTTTGTTCTTGGGCATTCCGTGCTCTATGCAGTTCGTGCAGGGACCTCGGGACACACTGCCCCTGCTCGGCAATGTGGCTTCGCCACTTCAGACCTTGTGGGTGTATGCTCAGCTCCTGTCCTCAGTGCACAAGTTCCTTCCGGAGTTCTATGCCTTGTCGCCCAGGATCGTTCTCGATCAATTCAAGGCTGAGCTACTTCGGCAATTCCACCAGTCACATGACATTGAGGTCCCACTAACCAGTCTCAACATTGCAGCAGAGGACGGCACCCAGGTCACACTTCTTGCCCCGGGGAATGTGTTGGTGGCTGACTTGATTCGGGCGGAGAAACTCCAGCTTCATCCCGAGGTTGAGTGCACTATCACTGATGGCCATCGCACTTTGTCACGGGTTGAGCGACTGCGGCCTCTTCCTCCTGGTCGTTGCTATCAGGTCCGCACGGAAGGACCTTACACCAAGGTCAGTCCCCATGAACTCCTGGTCCTGGCTCTGCATGATGAGTTCGAGCATCACATTGAATTCCTCCAGGCTGGACAATTTCTCTTTGAGGCCCTGGATCGCTCCTGCTTCTGTGGGGCGATGCTCTGTGTTGACCCTGCTGGACGGCTCTTTCCACGTGATGCCCGCATTTGGCAATCCACTCGATTGCGCATCTTGGCGCCGGACACTTTTCCCACATTGAAGACCACTTCCTCGCTGGCTGCACCACGGAGGCCTTTGGCTCCTCCACCTTCGGCAGGATCGGCCTTTGGCCCAGGCCCCTCAGCATTCATGCCCGGACTTGGGGCAGCTGCTGTCGACCTTGCAATGCGCAGCATTTTGGACAACTTGCCACGAGTTGAGACGAGAGACATCTGGCTTCTGCCCACATCAGTTGCCACACGCCTTGCCGATGGCCACGCTGAGGAATTGCCTCGACAGCTCCCACCACATCGTCGGTGCCTTGTGCAGGAATGCTTCTGTCTCTTTGCAGCGCAAGGCCATTGGGCTCTTCTCTGGGGGCGTCGAGTTGGGGCTGGACTTTATTGGACTTACTTTGATCCCCTTTCCGATGGACTTCGGTTGACTGCTTTGGACTTGGCAGTCCTGCTGACGACCTACCTTGGCGGCACCCTGGGCTCCTTTGAGCATTGCTCACTCTATACTCAGTCAGATGCCTTCTCATGCGGTACTTTGGCACTTCTGCACTTCATGGCAGCTCTTGGACTTCCCGGATTGCTGCCGGATCCTTGCATTGCTGACTTGCATGCTTGGCTCCTTCAACACTTCCCGGCATCTGATTTGGTTGCCATGGGCCCTTCCGATACCACTACTTCCAAGGCTTTGGCGGACATTCTGGTGGGGCATGGAGTCTTTCCTCACGAGGGTATGGAACGGGCCCGGGCAGTCATTGCCAAGCTGGGGACCACCACAGTGCAGACCGCTCTCAATAGCAAGAACCCATGGGCCACCCTTAAGGAGAAGGCCTCACAGCCTGGATCGATGATTCGCCTGGTGACCAGGGAAGAACTTGAGGCGCAGATTAACGCCCGGGCCAAGAGCAAACATGGGGCACATATCCCCGGTTACAAGCAGAAGAAGTCCAAGGAACCAGCTCCGAGGCTCACGGTGGACAATCTCGACATCAACCTACTGGCTTTGGATGCTGACCATTTTCATGACAAAGACGGCGACCCGATCACTCCTATCCCTTTCAGGGACGTGGTAGTCAATGGACGTGGCATTGCCCTTTGCTCACCCCAGGAAGCTCGACCCTTTGTGGAGGCGGACAAGAGCATGAGCACTGACGCTCTTGCTCTACTGGTTGTTCCACCATTGCCTACGTCAACTTGCAGCTCGGCTCGCATCGTCTCCATGAGATTCCCGGCGATCTACGGCCCCTCTCAGGAGCCTATGTTGGTGCAGGGAACTATGGTCTGCCTTGGGGATGTTGACATTCATCGACACTTGGGACAGCCCAGTACTCGCTTGGAGGTCCCTCAAACTTCAGTCTTCAAGGTTGTCCTCTACAAGGATGAATTGGAGCTCACATGGTCTGACCTCATTCAGCAGCCCATTCGTTGTTTGATCCAGTTGCTCCCGGCCCTGCAACTTTGCAAGGGCTCTGGTTGCGGCCCGGATTGTGTGCGATTCCATGCGCCTGTGGAGGAGGAGCTGGATAGCGTGATCCAAGAGGTTTGGGCACGCAAGTTCTTGGCACTATCAGGGAAGGTCATTGAGCCGGCTCATGCTGACCTCTTTCAATTCTATCTTCGGGTGGCGCACTCAGCTCGTTCCCAAGTTCTTCAGATTAATGCTTCCGGTGTCTATGTGGAGCCTCGCAAACCGGACCTCTCCGGCACTGACCCCCTCTACTCAGTGGTGTGGCTACCAAAGGCTGACAAACCTATGGCCATCAAAGCTCTGAAATCCTTTGAAGGTGCTTTGGCGCTGGTTCGAGTCAAAGATCGCTACGGGGTGCGTATCTTGTCCAAGGACGCAGCCACGGCCTATCAGGCTCTCCGCCCGGATATGCCTTTCGTTGATGTTCAGATCACCAAAGTCTTTCGCCTACATCCTGTTCCGCATGGGGTACAACGACATGTTCTCTTGAAGCTCCTCAAACAATGGAATTGGGTTGCTAAACCCATGCAACCTTGTCGGGGCTCAGCAGCTGGGGCGGCATGGGAAGTGGGTGCCTCTACCAACCCGCCCAAGCCAATCATGCCGGGATTTGGAGGGGACATTCTCATCAGTGAAGTGCGTGATCGCTCTGCCACGGCCATCGAGATGCCTTCGGTGATTTCATCCTGCAATCCTCGCAAGCTTCAGCCGGCTAAGCCAGCCAACAGTGATCGCACTCCAGCAGAGGATCCCTGGACTCGCACTGGTTCCGACCCCTGGGCCAATTGGACCGCAGCCCCGGCTACCACTATCACTCAGGGGGCCACAAGCAAGAAGCATATCCAAGAGCTTGAGCATCGACTTCAGGCCTCTGTCCATGATGCCGTTCGCACACAATTGGAGGATCACGCCGCTGACTCCGCTATGTCCACTGACATTGACTTCCATGCCTTTCAACAGACCACTGATCAGAGGTTTCGAGTACTGGAAGCCGGACTTGGAGAGCTCAAGGCTCAGGGAGACCAGTTTCGTAGCTGGTTCAACGACGTTCATACCGGCATGGATCATATGGGTAAGCAGGTCACTTCTTTGCAGAGCTCCACTGATAAGCTTTCTGCATCCATCGATCAGTCCATCAACGCGGCCTTCGACAGCAGGTTCTCGCAGCTGGAAGCTATGCTTAGCAAGCGGTCTCGTACCGAGTGACTATGCCACGCCAGGCAGTGGCTTCTCGCCGCTGTGCTGGTGCTGACTATTTTTGTTCATTGCTGCTTTGGGCGTACTCTGGGGTGTGGAGCACGCCTTGACCATGGTTCGTTTGGTCTCGATGGATCCTTCGTGGATTTCATCACAATCCTTTTAGTGATCTGCTGGCTCAACTTTGGCCTTGCTTGGCACTACAGTTTCCTACTGCCATCGATGTTGAGGACGCGGGGATTTCAGCGTCTTGGTCGTTCTGAGTCTACTTTGGCTCACAATCT